GGGAGAGGAAGCAACCCCAGGGTGTGCGTGTGCCGTGGCGGAGACGCAGGAAGAACTTTGACAGTGACAGTAGGTGGATGGGGTCAAAGAAGGCAACTGTGTGTTTCGGGAGAGCACTTGGAGTCCCCGAATGGAAGCAGACCAGGAAGGGGTCCCGAGGCCCCGAAGCCGGGCCAGCAGGCAGCCCCGATCCTGCTGGTGGGGGTCCAACAGCAGCACCCAAGCAGGCCCCCAGCAGCTCCTGTCACTGAGAACCCAAAGCTGTTCTGCTGAGTCATTGTCGAGCCTGCTTCACGCAGCTATGCAAGGTGACACGTCCATTGTTCCCTCGTCATAATGTCGCCTCCTGGTTGCAAACCCGTACGCTCTGGGTTTTATTATAGCACGTGATGCTTGTCCCTCAGGGTCGCTTTGGCCTGGAAGCCTGTTAAAGATTCAAGCACGAAGGGTAACTTGCAAAGCACCATGGCCCACGGAGCGTGCCGTGTGGCAGGCCAGAGGTGTGCGGCCACGTCCAGGCTGGGCCTTGAGGCTGTAGACGGAGAGGAGCCGGTGGCCAGAGCGAGCCAGACCAGCCCTCCCTCAGCCGACTCGGGGAACTGACTTCCTTGCCTTTGTCTCCCCTCTCCTTTCTCCTCCTCCCGCGGCCTGGAGGCAGGCGCCGGGACCCTACGGTCTCTGTCCTCTGTGCTCACGGGGTGGAAGTCCCCGACTTCTTTTTGGCTTTCCCTTTGGTATCTTTGTCTTTTTTAGATAACATTTTTAAAATTTTATTTTAGAAAGAGAGAGAAAGAGGCAGAGAGGGGGAGAGAGCCCCAAGCAGGCTCCAAGCTGTCAGCACAGAGCCTGAGGCAGGGCTCAAACTCACAAACTGTAAGATCATGACCTGAGCCGAAGTCCAGACTCGGATGCTTAAGGGACGAAGCCACCCCGGCGGCCCTGTTTGCCTTTTTTGTTTGTTTGTTTGTTTGTTTTTAGCGTGGTGAATAACACATAACATGAAGTGTCAGCAGAAGCGTGGGCGTGGGGTCCGCGCTAGCTGAGGGCGCTATTGCACGGCCTGGACCACGGCTCTCACCTGCGGGGCGGCCCCCATCTCGCCCCCATTTCTGCGCCCAGTCTCTGTGTCCCGCTGTGCACGTAACTCCTGCGGACGCCCCTGCAAGCGAAATGCTGCAGCGTTCGTCCCTCTGCACCCGGCGTCTCATCCAGGTGGCAGCAGGTGGCGGGGCCCCTTCTTCATGGCCGAGCGGGACCCCAGCGCTGGGCTGTGGTTTGTTCCTCCGTCCGTCCGTCAGCGGGCCTTGGCGGTTTCTTCCTCTGGGCTGCTGTCAGCCGCGCTGCTCTGAACACGGGTGTGCAAACACCGCTTCAAGTCCCTGATTTCGGTTTTTTTCCTTTGGCTAAATACCCCAGAAGTGGAGCGCTAGATGTTCTTCTCATTTTTTAAAGAAAGTCTACTGGTTTCCATTGCAGCTGCACCTCTTTATATTCTCAGCAACAACATGCAAGAGTCCAGTCTCTCCCACAGCCTCTCCAGCACTTCTATGTTCTGTTGGTTTTCTTTCTTTAATGGGCTTCCTGGCAGGTGTGAGCTGGTGTGTAGTGGACGTGGTGGTTTGCAGTTCGCTGATGATGAGCGATGTTGAACGTCCTCCCCGTGCCTGCGGGCTCCAGCCCCGAGTCAGGAGGCAGGAAATCTGCACAGACCAGTCACTCGTCACAAAACTACATCACTAATCAAACAAACTCCTAACACACAGAAAGTCCAGGGCCAGATGGATTACAGACGAATTTGAGCAAACATTTAAAGAGTTCTCCTGAAGCTATTCCACAAAGAAGAAGAGGTAGGAAGCCTTCCAGATTCATTCTGAGAGGTCAGCGCCACCCAGATAATAAAACCAGACAAATTACTACAAAAATAGAAAATTACAGACCAATGTCCTTGTTGAGCCTAGAAAGCAAAAATTCTTAACAAAATATTAGTAAAAGTCACATTCAACAACACACTAAGTGGATTATCCACCAGGATCAAGTGAGACTTATTCCAGGGTTACAAGAGCGGCTCCGTATTTGCAAACCAGGCATGTCCTGCACCGTCGTAACAGAAGGAAGGATAAAAGTCGCGTGATCATCTCCATACCTGCAGAAAAAGCATTTGACAAAGCACCACACTCAGTCACGATAAAGACTCTCATCAAACAGGGGCACCTGGGTGGCTTAGTCGGTTGAGCGTCCGACTTTCGCTTAGGCCATGATCTCACAGTTCGTGGGTTCGAGCCCCGCGTCGGGCTCTGTGCTGACTGCCAGCTCGGAGCCTGGAGCCTGTTTCAGTCTGTGACTCCCTCTCTCTCTAAAACACACCAAAACACACAATATCTCTCTCTCTCTCTCTCCTAGAAATAAATAAAAATATTAAAAAAAAAAAAAAAGAAGTAAAAGGCACCCAGGTGGGTAGAGAGTAAAACCGTCTCTATTTGGAGACAACACAATACGATACGTGGAAAATCCCTGAGACTCCACGGAACATCTCCCGGAGCCTGTAGGGGAACTCAGCAAAGTCCGGCACACAGAGTTAATGCACGAAGTCGGGCACCTGCCGGCCAGGGCGGGTCTCCCCGGGGACCGTGTGCTCAGGCCTCTGTGCTCCCCGTGACGCAGTGGTCGTTCTCGCTGCTGAAGCTGGAGGGGTCGCTTTGTCTTTCCCTCTGGAACCTGCTCGCCGCCCCCGGCCGGACTCCACACTCGTGCTCTCCGCCACCCCTCACCCCAACCCTCCGCATCACTCCGCCCCTGCAGGCTTTCCGTCTCTGGAATCTCTGCAGACCCAACTCCGACATGCCCTCAAAACCCCGGGTCACAGCACAGGCTGCGTGGACCCTTCGCTGACCGCCCAGCCAGCCGGGCGCCCCCTCTGCTGGGGTCTCTGGCACTTCCTGTCTCTGTTGCCTTTGGACAGCTGGCAGAGATGGCTGCCTTGTGTCGGACTGGGCGTCGCACACGTGCTGACCCCCATCTCCTGAAGGCGCAAAAGGCACCTTGATGGGCTGTGAAGAGGCAGGAAGCCAGAAGAGGTGTGTGTGTGTGTGTGTGTGTGAGTTCTCAGTATAGACGACAGAGGGTGGTCCGGCAACAAGAAGAGATGAGTCTAAGTTCACAGTCACCGTCAGTCCCAAGAGACAAGGAAGATCAGGACAGGGGAGAGAGGTAGGGGTCAGCGACCAGGCCCTTCCGCAGGTTTGGAGGGGGTAGACCTGCAGGTTTGTGCAGGGCAGAAGGACACAGCTGTCCTCGGAGCCGGGCTCTGCCGGAGTTTGGCAGGCGTGGGCGGACAGGTGTGTGCAGGAGCCAGAGAGAAGCCGAGTTCACGTGTGGCTCCGCCGGTGGGCAGAGCAGCTGCTGGTCATGGGGGTCGGGCCAGCTGCCCTCTGCAGTCCCTGCCCTGAACACCCCGTTCCGGAGGGTTTGTGTGTCCAAGCCTGGAGTGTCCCTGGTGGCAATGCCCGTGGGTGGTTAGTGGGGGCCCTGGGTGGCCCTCCAGAGGCCGAGGGGGGCGTGGGAAGGCCACGGGCGTGCCCCTGAGCTGGACACGTGATGTGGCTCCTGAGTGGTGCGGCTCCATCATGCTCCCTGCACGAGGCCACAAGGACCCTTCTGTGGGGGACCCACCAGCCCTTGGAGATTCTCCACCTCAGGATCCTTCTTCATGAGTCCCCCCAGCTTTCCCTGTGGTTGGGTTTGTGTAGCCTCTGGGACCCACCTTCCGCACTGAGTCCCAGCCTGCTCTGTCTTGATGACGCCGTGGCCAGTTCTTGTCCCCGTGGTCCCGGGGAAGGTTCCAGACAGAGGACCATTATGGGGCCCCATTTCATACCTTTGGAAGGTGCCTGGCCAGGCCAGAGCCCGCTCTCACGTGAATCCGGGGAAGCCAGACGACTGGGTAGGCCTTGCGTCTCCGGTGGGAGGGGAAATAAAATGTGAGGGTGGCGTGCCCTTGTAACAGCTAAGCCTCTTCCTGCCCCTGCCTGGGGAGCAGCTCTGTCCTTTCTGGTTTCTTTCTGGCCGGCTCTTACTCCTGGGTCACGGGCCCCCAACCTGGTAGGCATGTATGATCATCGAACGCTTAAAAGAAGAAAGAAAAAAGTTCTTGGGCCCCGTCCATGGGGCTTCTCTTTAGGTGGGGGTGGGGTTTGGCATTTTGTACATACAGTTGACCCTTGAACTACTCGAGGTTCAGGGGCGCCAACCACACATAGTCAAAAACCCACATGTAACTTTTGACTCTTCCAGAACTTAACTTCTCACCGCGTGCTGTTGACCAGAGCTTTGTGATGACACAGGTACCGCCAGTTCTATGTGCCGTGTGCATCATGTACTGTTCGCTTACAGTAAAATAAGCCAGAGGACAGGAAGGCATAAGGAAGTCACTGAGTCTTTAAGAAACCATAAGGAAGTGGGGCGCCTGGGAGGCTCAATCGGTTGAGCATCCAACTTCGGCTCAGGTCATGATCTCACAGTTCATGGGTTCAAGCCCCGCATCGGGCCCTGTACTGACACCTTGGAGCCTGGAGCTGCTTCAGATTCTGTGTCTCCCTCTCTCTCTGCCCCTCCCCACTCATGCTTGCTCTCTCTCTCTCAAAAATAAATAAGCATTAAAAAAAAAAAAAAAAAAAAGAAACCATGAGGAAGGAAAAACACGTGCACAGTACTGGCCCGTATCAGAAAACCCACACAACGGTGGACCCCACGGTTCAAACCGTGTTGTTGAAGGTGCACACAGACGGGCGTCTGGAAGAGTGGCTAACGGACTGAGTTGCCGAGTAATTTCTGGTTCCTTCTTGGTCTGACCCTGTGCTTGCTGGGTTTCCTAGAGTGGTCGTGTGTTTCTGTAGAAACCGGAGCGAGGCTAGACGCCACCCGAGAGCAGAAGCCAGACCTGCGAGTGGCGCGTCTCCTGCGGAAACCATTAACCCTCTTCCATGTGCTTGTCTCTTCCACAGGCGGACTTGATCTCATCTTCATGCCGGGCCTTGGGTTTGACAAGCAAGGCAACCGGCTGGGGCGAGGCAAGGGCTACTACGACGCCTACCTGACGCGCTGTCTGCAGCAGCAGCGGGACTCGCAGCCCTACACCATGGCCTTGGCGTTCCGCGAACAGATGTGCCTCCAGGTGCCCGTGGACGAGCATGACGTGAGGGTGGATGAAGTCCTATACGAAGACTCGCCCTAAACCCCGACGCAGAGAAAAGCAGCACATGTATGTTTTCCCTCGTCGCGACGGGGTGTGCGGCTTTGCACACTCATTGTGAATGTGGACGGGTTGTTTGTAGTAGAATTGCAAACACCTACCATTAAAGCATCTTCCAAAATCAGTAGTAGAACATTACTTAAGTGGAGGCCATCGCGTGTGACATCCGCCTAACTTCCTGTCATCGGCCTGACGGCTGATCTTTCTGCTCTGCAGCTTAAGCTCAATGTGTGCAAGGCCCTGTGCGCGGCTCGGGCGCCGGGAAGGTCGACCCCCAGGGCGCCCCAGGCTTACGGGCTGTCCAGCCGGTCAGGTGTTGTTGGGCAGGTGCGGGAGACCCAGCAGCTGTTAGCTGATTTGTTGGGGTTTGCTCTGCACACAGAGTTGCCCAGGAATGTTCTAGCATGTCTTCATGACTGCATTGCTCACCCTGGGATTTTACATTGGACACTTTGTAGCTTTTGATAGTTTGAGACGAGACCTCTTGTGACTGAAACGCTTGCGCTCCGTCTCTGCTGTTGGTGCGTCAGTCCCTTAGCGTCTAGGTGCTGATACCCGTCAGTCAGAAATCGGGTGTGTGCCTGCGGCGTCGGCTTTGGAAATGAGCTTCGTCACGGCTGCGAGCTGGCTTCCTGGACGCGGCTCTTGTACCCGGCCCCCGGCGCATGGGGTCCTGGGGCGCGTGCGGCCGTCCCTCCCCTCCGTCACCCTGTCGCCCCTTCTGTCCAGGCTCCTGGCACTCCACTTTATGCCCCAAACCACAGTCCACGTGACCTCACAGAACCTGGATGTGACTGGGAGGCGGCCCTGCCTGGAGCCTTTCAGTGGCTGTTCAGGGCCCACGGGGTGACGACCAGATGCCGTCTCCATGCGAAGCCACCAGCCGGCCGGATCAAACACCTGCGCACGTCCCCGGGCAGCACCGGCCTCTCCTGCCTCTTACACCCCCCACGCGCGGCCTCGCTCCTCCGGCCTTTCTTCTGCCCGGCCGGGAATCGTGCTTACCCTTCAGGGCCCTCCAGGTCCCCCTCCCGTGAGGCCTCCTCCACGTTCCGGGCGGGTTAGCGCCCCTGCACTTGTATAAACGCCCTGGTCACTGTCCTCCTGTCATAGTGACATGGCTGTCCCTTCGCCCGCCTGCACCTCAGAGGGAGGGACACTTAACTGTTGCTCACACTTAGTGGACACCTGCACGTATGGTCCGTGTTTGAGAATTTTTTCTAATGAGTTTATTAAACATCCAGAAAGGTTTTGCTTAAAACATGGACCCATATTCTTTGGATAGGAGCTTATGATTTGGTGTTTTATGCACAAAAGTAAAAATACTTTAAAATGTGAAATTGGTGAGACTCAGGAAAGGGTCTCTCCCACCTGGGAAGGGGGGCCCCGGTGACCAGGAATGGGCAGGGGTCACTGTGCAGAGGGCACTGGGAAGGGGGGCCCCGGTGACCGGGAATGGGCAGGGGTCACTGTGCAGAGGGCACTGGGAAGGGGGCCCCCGGTGACCGGGAATGGGCAGGGGTCACTGTGCAGAGGGCACTGGGAAGGGGGGCGCCCTGAGGATGCGGGTGGCCCCTGCAGGGCACACGCAGAGGCCGAGGGCAGGCCTCAACCCGGGAACGAGCCAGCAGGATAAGGGGCACGTGGGGGGCGGTGCAGGTCGGGGAGGAGTCGCCCTGGGTCTGAGCCTCGGGGAGGTGGAAACATACTGGAGCCCCGGCATCCGTCTCCGACGGCTCCGTTCTCTAGAACGCGTGTGATTCAACTAGAAGGGCAGCTCTGCCCGGCTCCAGCCCGCCCAGCAGCGTGAGCAAGCACGGCACGCGCGCAGCCTGGACGACAGCGAGTGTGGACGGCCCGGTGCGCCAGCTCCGTCCCTGCCCCGGATCCCTGTGTTTCCCGCAGAGATCACACTCAGTCACGTTGCATTTTAATCAGACCGCGCATTAGCAGGCTGCTTCCTCACAGCCGATGAGCTCCTGGCACAGGATAAGTCGCCAGGGAGCTCCTGGCCCAGGAACCGGTGAGCGGGGCGCCCTGTCTCATGCCCTTGCTCTGGTCTGATCTGCCGAGATTCTGCCCGTTCAGCGTTGTCTCCGGGTTGGATTATACTAGAACGTGGTCTCTATTGCTGTGGCTGCATGGTCTTCCTGGACCCACGTGTGGGTCACGTGGTCTGTGCTCCCCGGCCTTGCACGTGCTCTCTTTCACGCACCTCTTGGTCTTTGTCCCTGCTCGCCGCCTGCCCGTTGAAGGGTGAGCTCTCATCCCGGGGCACCCCTGCCCCAAGTACTGGTTAATATGCTTGAAAATAAGTAATAGATTCCTTTCCAAATAACATCTTATGCTCATGAGGAGACACGCACAGTAAGAGAGGCGAGAACTGAAACAGTCTATTATCTGTAAGTTGTAAAATACTTAATTTCTTTTGTTTATTTTTTATTTTTTTAATGTTTATTTATTTTTGACATAGAGACAGAGAGCAAGCAGGGGAGGGTCAGAGAGAGAGGGAGACACAGAATCCAAAGCAGCTCCAGGCTCCAGGCTGTCAGCACAGAACCTGACATGGGGCTCGAACCCACGAACCGTGAGATCATGACCTGAGCTGAAGTCAGATGCTTAACTGACTAAGCCCCCCAGGCGCCCCCAAGTACTAAACTTCTAAAAGGGAAAGATGGAAAATTTTTGGAAATGTATTGTTTTTGAAAACCTTGTTTTAATCCCCTAGGAATGATTGAAACGTCTGGCTGTAATCTTGGTTTTCAGGGCTCTGGTCGCTGAAGAACTCCCTCCAGAGATGAGCAGATCCACACGGAAGCCACTGCACTGTTAACATCTTCCACGCTGTTTACCGGCTTTGCAAACTGTTTATTTAATTCATTTTTTAAAATTTAAATCCGCTAGTAACTCTCCCGTTTCTTGACATGGGTTACTCCTGCGTATCCGTCAGAAGACGCTGATACTGACCTTGTGCTCATGGCTTCAGAACTTACGGAAACTCTGGAAAGATTTTAAACCGTGGTAGGAAAACTTTGCTGCCAGGTTTTAGCTGGGCGGACGGGGAACTGTGTGCAGCTGCCATGTCACAGCGAGGCCGTGCAGCGGTGAAAATATTTCCAAGTCCCGTGTCCCACATATGCTGTGTGTCACAGGAAGTTCCTTCTGACTCGTCGATGAAACGTGACTTTTATCGGGAAGATTCAAATCAGACGTATTTATCCTTTGAAGGCAGGTGTTTACAGGTTACCGCTGGCCATCGTACCACCAAAGAATCAGAAAGTGTGGTACACGTAAAATACACACAAAACTCATCTTTAAGCTCCACGGCTCTTTTAGTTTTAATTAAAAAACTTTAATGTTTTTTAAATTAATTTTTGAGAGTGCGAGTGGGGGAGGGACAAAGTGGGCTCCGAGCTGTCAGCACAGAGCCCGATGACAGCACAGAGCTGTCAGCTCAGCGTCAGGAACCGCAAGATCGTGACCCGAGCCGGAGTCCAGTGCTTAACCGACTGAGCCGCCCAGGCGCCACTTCACGGTTCTTGTGAAAGTATTTGACCTTGAGAGAGAGAAAGGTTACTGCTTCTGCCGGTCGTGCGGCTGATGGGAGCTTTCCCCATCAGGAATACCAGCTACCGCGGCTTAGTGCGTTTGCCTCCTAAGACTTTCCTGTTTCTTCGTAAGAGCCTTTTAAAGCCACTTACATTTTAAGAGGGTTTGCTCGGTGAGAACCATGTAAGCGGTAAACCCACGCACATGGGGATATAGAGAGAGCACAAGTGTATCACTCCACTGAAAGCAAACACCCCCCACTCCCCAGATCTCCCTCGGGGCCCCCCGCCCAGCTCGCATGTGGCTACGGCATCGGGGTGAAGGGCACACGTCAGTCTGTACGTGAACCTTTAGCAAAACTTAACTTCTTGTCTTGTACAGATAAAAAGTAAGTATGGACAGAGATTCTAGTTTCTTCTTCCCACCCCACCCTCGACCCCCTTGCTGGCTCTTGGGGTGTGTCTTTCACCAAGAGACGACTGCTGTGGGGACTGTCACCTAGTCAGGCGGTGGGGGCTGGCTCCTGCGGCCACTCCGGGGAGGGGCTGTGCATATCCTGCCGGGGGCCCGCTCTGCCCTGCCCCCTCCTCACCTCGGGCCTGTGTCTCGCGCCCCCCGGAGCTGGCCCCTCCACGGCCCGCCACCTCTGGCCCCCGTGGGCCGGCTCCAGTCTCCCCGTCTCCGCCTGGGCGCCCTGCCTGGGGCTGTCATCTTGCTCGCAGTGTTTGAGTAGAGGGACGGCTTCTGTAGTTGGGTCTTTAAGGCCAGGGCGCCTGGCAGACCCCGGCCCCTAGGAAACAGCAGACCCCACCTTGGCTCTTCCCCTGCCCAGGACCCAGCCTCCGGCGCGTCAGCGGATTTGTGGGACTAGATAAGAGGCCCTGACACTTTTTGTTTAAATCTTCGTGGTTTTGAGTATTATGTGTCCTGTGAATATCTTCTTTATGCTTTTAATCTTACGTTTGAACAGTTTTAAAGCAAACAATTGTGTCAATGGCGAATGGGATCCCAGAGGGTTCACGTTACTGTCAATGGCGAACATTTATTTGGTTTATCAAGACAAGTCATCTCAGGACTGGAACGCAGGGAGTTTGTTTCCTCCCGCGCCTGGAGGTGGAGAGCGTGTGATGCTCTGCAGCGCGCACTGGGGTCCCTGTGGGTGTGGGCGCCGCGCAAGGGCAGGTTGCTGTGAGGCCTGAGCGTTTCCTGCGCCTCCGATCGAAGGATACGTGAAGACGGCCGGCGCCGCGCCCTGACACTCCGAGCACGAGGACGCGAGTGTGGTCCTCCCCGCCAGCCCGTCCGCCGCGCTTCCACACGTCATTGTCGTCAACGTCGCTCGTGCCGCCTGCCCGCTTGGCAGCCGTGGGTGGTTCCCTGTCGCTCGCTGAGTGAGGCGCAAGCCCGGGGCCGCACGCGGTACCCGTCCCGCCTCGGCCACAGCTGCCCCGCTTCCCCTCTCCCTCGTCACAGACACACACACGCGTCTTGTGTGCTTGTCACGTCGGAGCCCGGTGTTTCGGGTGGGAACTGGGTGACGCGAGTGGATGCTCGGGTTAGTCTGCAGCAGGGAGACGGGAGGTCTCAGGCTCTGGTAGGTTCCGGAAAGTATCCATCTAGACTGACAGACACCTCGCCTGGGGATCTCGTTAACTTCTGACTCCGCGGGCCTGAGCAGGACGGCAATCCCGCGTCTCTGACGGCTGGTCCGCCGGGCCCTCTGAGCCGGCCGTCCACCGCGGGAGCCCAGCCGCGTACGGCTTTCAAGGTACACTGCAAGTCACTTCCTCAGTCATACTGGCCACACGTCATGCTCCTGCTGCAGAGGTGAAACTCCCCACCGTCACGGAAAGGTCTGTGGCAGAGCTTGGTCCGCCGGCTGCATCCCCTAGTGTAGCCGCACGTGAGGCGGGCCGGGACCTGGGAATCCGCGGGCGGTGGGTTCTTGTAGACGCTGCTGCGGGGCCAAGGGTTCTCCAGGGACCTAAACTCTGACGCCCCAGGTACCCGGCAGGTGGGAGCAGGCAGGTACCAGAGAGACAGGTGGCCGCGTGCGTGGGAATGCCCTTCCTCCGGGGAGAGCCCGTGCGCTGCCTGCGGGCGCCACACTTCCCCTGGGGGCGCCGAGCCCCAACCTCAGAGCCGCACAGCGTGGTCAGCCCCGCGGTGCTGGCAGGGGTGCGGCCGGCCCCAGGCCAGGGCTCTCGGGTCCCCGGCCTCCCGTGCTCCCGGGCGCGTCCGTGTCCTGGGGTGACACTCAAGCTGGCACGAGCAGCCAGGGAACGGCCCTTCTTCGTCGTTGTCTTCTCCTGCCCCTCCTCCCCCTCCTCTCCCTCCTCCCCTCTTCCCCCTCCCTCCTCCCCTCCTCCACTCTCCCTCCCCCCCTCCTCCACTCTCCCTCCCCCTTTCCCCTTCGCCTCCCCCCTCCCCTCCTCTCCCCCTTCCCTGGGCTATTGCAGCAGGTCTGTCACTTAGAGTGCGTGGGTGTCTGTCGTCCGCATCCCTGCCGTGGAGCCTGCAGAGGCCACACGCGGCTACGGACGGGAAGCGGGCCGGCGTGGGCCGAGCTCCACAGGCAGCAGCCGCACGAGGTTCCTGTGGACGCGACTTCACGCTCTTCTGGTGTCTGAGTGGGAGCGATGGTGGCGGACAGATCAGCCTTGATTTAGATGCTCTTGGAGCAGGAAGCAAATTAGACTCTCGTCTGAGATCACTTTGTGTCTGAATGTGACACTGGTGGGGTTTTGCTTCAAAAGCAAACACTGAACTTAAAAAAGAGCAGTACTGGAAGCAGCCGTGGGTGCCGTGCCATCCCGGTCCCTTGTAGCACAGATGTGGCTGCCCGGGTGCCGGCTGCTGCCAGCTCAGAGGGGAGCCTCCCCGGGACCGCCCGTGGCCGAGTCGGTCATCTTTCCCGAGGCCACGGCCCTCTCTCGGTGGCAGCCTGCGGCCAGGGCCCGGTCGTTGGGGGCACAAGGCTGACTCCCTCGCTGTGGATCCGGTGCCCCCTTGCCCCCCCACGGCATCTCCTGGACCCTGGTGTCTGCCACGTTCCTGGGCGAGGAGAGTGGACGTGCTGTCTGAGGCCGAGTAGAGACTGTCGTGGCTCAAGGCTCTGGGGCTGGGGGGAGGCCGGTGGAAATAAGACCCTGGACGTCATCCCCCATCAGAGTGCGTGACTCGGGACCCTGTCTCCTGGGGACTGCGTACGCAGCAGGCACTTAAGGAGTCCTCTTTTTTTATTTTATTTTGAGAGAGCGTGAGCACGAGTGGGGGAGGGGCAGAGAGAGGGAGACGGAGAATCCCAAGCAGGCTCTGTGCTGTCAGCTTGGAGCCCGACACAGGGATGGAACCCACAAACCGTGAGATCAAGACCTGAGCCGAAATCAAGTCAGACACCCAACCTACTGAGCCCCCAGGCGCCCCAAGGAGCTTTCTCGGTACGGAACCACCAAACGTCACCCTCTGCCTCCCTGAGTTCACAGCCACCTGAGAGACGGGGCACAGATGGGGGACAGGGGACGCGACAGCCTTGCCAGTAGTGGGTGAGGGCGTGGCCCGGAGGCGGGCCTGCCCAGGGCTTGGCTCCTGCATTAGACGCGCTCGTGCCCCAGCCGGTGTGAGCACAGCTGGGCGCACAGATGCAGGCCTCGCGGCTGGGGTAGGGGGCGCCTTCTGCTTCGGGGGGCGGCAGATCCAGGGGAAGGAGCGGGACGGGTCAGAGGCCAGCGCGCGCAGTCCTGTGACCCGCAGCAGGCTGGCGGGAGCTGGGGGGGGCCGCGTCCTTCCCCAGGAGCACGTGAGGCCGGGGAAGCGGATGGCCCCGCAGCTGTCCCCACACGTTTCTGTGTATTGGCAGAGCCGGCGCTGTGGTGTGCAAGTCTTCGAGGTGCCACGTGCCTGTTTCGCAGAAGGGGAAACTGAGGCCAAGGTCGTATTGCAAGGTGGCGGCGGCTATGGGTTAGAAGCTGGTCTGCTCTGGTTACAGAGCCCAGGCTGCGTTCACCACCCGCACCCCCCACCCAGAGAGTCCCCCCGGAACCTGGCTGCCGGGGCTCTGGGCCAGCGGGCACGTGCGGGGCGGGAGAGACGGTCATTCGCCGCCCCCCTTCCCCAGGACCAGAGAGGCCGTGGAGGGGTCACGGGGCTGTGACGTCCACAGCGAGTTCTGGCTCGGGTGAGGGCAGCTGCGGAAGCCAGTGCCTTCCATCGGGGCTGGGCGGGCTGGCCGGGGCCTCTGCGCCAGCTCAGGAGGGCCCTTCAGGGCCACGGCCCGCCGGCCCCCACGCTCAGCCGGCCACCAGCTGGCTGCCCCGGTCCGTTGTCTGACGTCTTCCCTGAATCTGGGTGTTCTCCCCGTTGCCCTGAGCTTCCTGTCCCCCACCAAGTGCTGACGCTCCTGGCTTTCCCGTCTCTGTGCAGACGGTCCAGCTGCCGCCCTCTCCAGCCCCCCCCCCGCCCTCCCCTCTGCCTCCCCTGCCCCCTTCCCCCTCCCTTCCTTTCCTTTCTATTCTCCTTTCCTTCTGTCCCTCCAGCCCCACCGTGAACCCAGGGGACAGGCCGATGCTCACAGGAAGGGTCTCTGTCCACGGATACGAGGCCCCGTGGTCCCCAGTAGACAGCAGTGCCCTGGGAATGCTCTGCTCGGGCCAAGGGCCACGTGGGAGTCCCAGGCAGTCAGAAGAGTCGCCTGGGGTGCTGGGTGGCCGCTGCAGGGGTGTGGGTGGGAGCCACCACCCCAAGTGAGGGAGGGATGAGGAGAGGAGGGGTGCTGGGCGGCCGCTGCAGGGGT